GCTCCTTCTGCTTATCCTGTATTATACCTGGAGATATTAAGTTCATTTTCAACCTATTTTGATAAAATTCTTCCGCTCTTTCAACAGTATTTAGCTGATATCTTTCTCCTTGGTATCTAAATATAATACCAACTGGGGCGTCCCACCTGTAGGAGATATTTCTCTTTTTTAACTCATTCACCAGAAAACCAAATTTCTTCCTTTCCATCAATATCTTAGGTGGGAGTTCCTTGTAAATCCAAATCTTTCTTCCATACAATTGCAAATTAGAATTGAAGGAATTTTGAACGATATTATTCCTAATTTCCTTATCTGTAAAATAAATCACCACATCTCTAGGCAATTGCCTTTGCTTAGCAATCCAGGAGTTGATTCGATAAACTCTGTCGATCCTACAAAACACTTCGTCAGGTTGAACCTTTAGAATCCCAGCTAGAAATTCAGAAGATATTTTCCTTAAATCATCTCTATTATTTTCCTGCAAACCTCTTAATCTTATCGCATATTCTTTGAAATTATATTGTACCATTAAAATCTCTTTTTCAATCTTCTGTTGCAGATTTTCTGCATTACCATACTTTTGATCAGCATCCATTTTAGGTTTTTCTTCTAAGCTATTATCCTGAGTGTTTGTCAAATCATTTTCAATTTTTTGAATTCTATTGTCCAATTTATCTTGAATTTCTTCCATTTTAGACTCTAGTACATTAGTATTTGTGTCCAACTGTATCATAAATTCTGTAAAACCATTAACCACTTTTGAGAATTTTTTCTCCAAAAAAATCAAACTTAGATTTCACCAATTCTTTAATTTCCTGCTTAAATTTTTCAAATTGCTGATTCACAATCTCCTCCCTTCTTTCAATCTCCTCTATAAAAAAATCTATTATATTAAAATCAGGTTTCTGAGACTGAAGAATTAAGACTTGTTCCTTTAAGTTGTTGGTGGGGGGATCCCCCCCTTCTTGTTTATCTGACTTTATGAGTCTCAGTGCCATGTTTCCGCCCAGGCAGGCTTTGTTAAAAAAAAAGCAAGAAAGAAAAAAAAAAAGGACTTCTTTCCAATCAACAACAATATCAGGTCTCCAAGGGAAAAAAAAGAAAAAAAGACACAGGAGCGAAGTTTTGTCTACAAATGTAGCCAGTGGTATTTATTCCGCTACATTGTAGTAATGGAAAACGGAAGGACTTTCCCTTTCAGCCTCTCCTCCAGCCAACGCCATTTTAAAAGGCTTTTTTTTTTCCTCTTTCTTTTCCTCCTCTCTCTTAAGTAATTTTTTTTTAAAAAAATCAGTAAAATACTTGCGGTTCAATATTACAGGTCCAGCTCACATTTTCTTTGAGTAGTCTGTTAAATTTGCAGGCTTGCTTTTGACGCCTGGCTCTGCATCAGCAGAGGTCTCCCAAAGCCCGGAGCGGCGGCTGGGAATACGGGGCATCTCATCCGCTCCGTCCCAAAAGTAAAAAAAAAACTTTTGGGACTCCGCAGAGAGTTCTACCCACCCCTGCCGGCTCTATCTCCGTTTCCTCATGGAAACGGAGTTTTTTCGAGCCGCCATTCCGTTGTGAAGGCGGCTCTAACAGGCGATGGAAGCTGACGATCCCAAAGGAACGTCTGGCAGCGACAAACAGCAACCCGGAAGTCCTATGCAGCACCTCATTGATCAGCTGTATAAACACCGCCAGGGGCCCCTGTAGTCCAAACAGCATCACTTTGAACTGGAAGCTTCCCAGAAGGCAATTAAATGCCATCTTCCAATCATCTCCCTCTCTGATTCTGACGTGATAATATGCTTCTCTCAAATCTAACTTGGTAAATATCTTCCCCTTGGCTAGGTGGGCCAGAATGTCCTTCATGAGGGGGAGTGGGTACATGTTCTCCACGCACACTCCATTGATCCCCCTAATGTCTACACATAATCCAATTTCCCCATCCTTCTTTTCCTTGAACAGGACTGGGGCTGCTACTCAGGTTTAGCTGGCTGGATGAAGCCCCTGGCTAGGTTCTTGTCGATGTACTCCCTCAGCTCCTTCATCTCCTTGGGGGTCATGGAGTACATGGGGTCGATGTACTCCCTCAGCTCCTTCATCTCCTTGGGGGTCATGGAGGCTTGGGTAGTTTTGCCCCTGGAAGGATCTCAATTGCACAGTCCATGGGCCTGTAAGGGGATAGCATGTTGCATTCCGCCTCCATGAATACCTCCGCCAGGTGATGGTATTCTCTGGAGATGGTTTAGGTCTCTGGCAGCCAATTTGACCCAGCCTTTGAGTCTTCTGGGCCTTCAGCTCCCATCCTCTACAGAGCGGCTTGCATGACTCAGTTGTATGGGGGAGGGAAGGGGCCTCTTCCCAAACTCAACTTCCTGTTTCCCCCTTCCCACTATAATGTCGGGCCCCACTTGTCCAGCCAGGAATGTTCACAGCTTCTGTCATCTTCAGGACAATCACGAACTGGATCATCTCCCAGTGCTGACCCATCTCCAGCTTCATGGGCTTGGTCAAATGGTCATGGGCCCCTCCTTTTAGCGAATCATTGACTTGTTCAAACCACATGGAGGATAGGATAGCCTCCTCACCCGGATTCCCAGCCTTGGCACTGTGGGCAGGCTTATTAAGCATCAGGTGCAGCCTGAATCTATTAGGGCGTCAAAGTCCCCTTGAGCTCCCGAGTTGTGTGCCATGATTCTCATGGGGATCACGAAAGGGCGGATGGCTCTACTCACCATCGGGTCTCTCTCCCTCATCCTCGCTGTCATACAAGGCAGGTGACTGGTCTACTTCGGCTGGAGTTCACTCCCCCTCGGGTGATTCCTATCAAATGTGATGGTTGGGAGGGAGGCTTCATGTAGTGTGGTGGGGTGTGGCCAATATCCCAGGTGCTACCCGGGGTTGTGGGGAAGAGGCTGCAGTGGCTGCTGGGATGGGCTGATCGCTCCTGGTGGCTTCTGGGGCCCCTGGCTAGAACTGGGACTCACCCTCATTGCTGTTGCTAGTGAGGATGGGGAGCTTCTTCTGGGGCTTGTCCCCACAGCTCTCTGCTACACTGGAGCAGCTCACTCCAGGCTCCCACCCCCATCGTCAATAGGAACTTTGGGCTGATGAGGCAGAATCTGACAGGAGGACTGGGGCTCCGTCATCCCAGAAGCAGCTGGATAGCTTGGTGGAGCATCTCCTCTGTTACCTCCAGCTGGTACAGAGGTTCCATACCCCAGATGCTCGTGCTGTCGAACCACTCTCAGCTGCTCTACCGAAAAGCTCCAAAGCATTGTCAAATATTTCCACTCCCTTGGCTCATCCCAGTCTACCACTCTCCTCTGTACATGGGCACTACCATGGGGAGCTCAACATCTACTGTCCAGGGGTTCTCCTCCACCAGAGTTCATCTGCTATGAGTAAGGGATTTTCTCTGATCACTGATTCCTCCCACATCTCTGTCAGGTTGGGATTTCCTATCCACACTTTCATCCAGTGGGGTGGCCTCATTTGCTTGGGCTCCCACTTGCACCGTCACTGGCTCCTCCACTGGTTTGCCAGTGGCCTCTTTCCCCTTCTTGGCCATCTCTTCCTGAGGATTTCCCTTCCCCATGAATTGACCAGGGTTGAGGGCTGGGGTTCAGGAATCCTGGAGATTTGATGAGTTTTATGGGTGTTGTCATGGTTCCGAGTATTGTTCCCAACCGATTCAAGACTCCAAGGCCTTGGCTTCCTCAAAAATCCTGTTTATTGGGTACATCATATCAGCACGGTCAAAGGTGAAGCCAACACTGAATAAGTCCCGTGTTTTTGGTATAATTAAAAGAATAGATTCTGTCTACCCCTCTTGTGTCACAGGTCACGTTTGCCAACCAAGCAGGTGATGAACTTCTCAGCACTCCCTCCTGCCGTTGCTAGGCATGCTGATTTGGCTTTGCTTTTCAGGCGCCTTATTGTTATGTCTGGCACATTAGAGAAATGTACTCTACATTCCATAAGTCCCCCTCCTCCCCATAAGCAAGAAAAATATGGCTTTGGCTAGAGTAGTTTCGAGAGTTGACAAATGTCTTGAAACTATTTTTTAGAAAATATTAAATAAATACATTGTGAAATGAAAGACTGCAGCATTCTGTTTCATGTCTCATCTGTAATATATTATTGGTTCAAAAAGATCTTTTTGAAGGAGGAAGAGGAATTATGCCAATAGTTACATTTTCTGACTAAGCATATTTAATGGACTGGATTATGTAAGTATATTGTTTTGGGCATATAAAGAAATGAATGAAGATCAAATTGCAAAATAATTTGAAGAGCAGGAGTGAATGGTTTAAGAGGAAGGGAAAGACAGAAAGTCATGTTTGTATGGAATTGATAAAATTGTCGAAAAGAGAAATGTAAGGTTAAAAGAATAGAAGGGAATTATGAAAACCATATGGGCATAATAGAAAGATGCTTTTCAAAGACAGAAATGTATGGAGAGTTGGTACTCAGTAGATTTCTGTTCTTTCATTTCTTTGTTCACTACTTCTTAGTATTTTTCTATGACTTGCACTGAATATATATGGCAATGATGTATGCAGGTAAAAATACCTTCAAGCTTCAAAAAGCCCTCCTAAACATACTTTGCTTCCAGACTTAATTTTTAAATATACATGTAATTATTGTAATTTCCCCAAAAATAAGACCGGATCTTATATTAATTTTTACTCCAAGAGATGCATTAGGGCTTATATTCTGGTTAGGTCTTATTTGGGGGGAAATACGGTACTAAATGCACCATCTGGCTGATAATCCTAATGGGGGCTTATTTTGGGGGTAGGGCTTATATTACTAGCATCCTGAAAAACCATGCCCAGGGCTTATTTTTTGGTTGGATCTTATTTTGGGGGGAAACAGGGTATATTGGAACAAAAGTAAATATAATTCAGATGAAAAAAATGTCAGATAATCTAACATTGATAGATAACATAGTTCAAGTACCAATTTTAGTTTGTAAATATTGTGTTTATTATTTTTTTTTGTCTTAGGCCTTGATGACTGCCTGCAACAATATATCAAGAATTTTGAGAGGGAAAAAATTGGTGGAGACCAGCTACTACGTATTACTCATCAAGAACTGGAGGATCTGGGAGTTACTAGAATTGGTCATCAAGAACTTATCCTGGAAGCAGTTGACTTACTCTGTGCATTGGTAAATATTTTGAGAATGAAGAAAAGGGTTCTGAAATGTATAAAAAATATATAATCAATGGGATTGTGCAAAACTATTTCAAAGATTTTGAGTAATATTAATATATTTAGTTTTAGTGATACAAAAATTGAATTGCGGTACAAATCATAGTTGAAAAGTCTTTCGTTTTAAAATCAAAGTTAGCTTTTTTCAAAGAAAAAGTATTTTTATTGAACTGAAATGTTTGTAGAAATAATTTGTTTCCAAAAGGGGAAGCATTGATTTCTTTGTAAATCATACTTACTTTTTACAACAGCAAGCAAAATGCCTTCTTCTCAAAATACAAAACAGGGCACTTTGACTGGATTCAGTGGTGGGATTCTACCGGTTTGGACTAGCTCAGGTGAACCATTAGCTCTGACTTTCAGCCATGAGCGAACTGGTTCACTCTGATTTTGAAGTGGGCCCACCTGCCCCTGCGTTATACTCACCTACCTATATTTCCATTTCCGAAGCCCAGCTAATTAGCACGGCAGAGTGGATTGCCGTGCCTCAGCTGTTTTCCTTGCCAGCAGCAATGCAGAAGCTGAGTTTTCTCCAAACTGTGCATGTGCGCGCTTAGCAAACTGGTTGTTGAAATGGTAGGATCCCACCCCTGACTGCATTCATACCTCATATTAAATGGTAGTTGTAATTATGATTTGGTGAATAAATTGCAATGGGCGAGTTACAAAATATCCTAAGACAAAACCAAATCAAATTATAGCTTAGCTTTATGTGCAATTAGCGTTTTACTGCCAAACCTTTTGGACATAATTTCTGTGCATGCACATGTATCAGCAGATTACCTGGAAAGTAACCATACTGAATTTTTGAAAAGCTGTAAACTTCTCAGCACTTTAAAGAGGAGACCTTCATTTGTGATATTACTACAGCTGAAGTAACCATCTGGATATTTTGAAAGGCCCTCTAAAATAAGTATTTGCATGTCAACTGTCTGACTAGTGAACCCAGAATAAGGAAACACTTTTGGGAGCTTTGAATTTGAAAATAAAACATTATTGGATATACCATATTGATACTGAAGAAACAAAACCAGCTCTGGTTTTCATATGCAAATGCTTCCCTAGTTAAACAATAGCTTCCTCTTCTCCCCACCCCTAGGTGATCACATTATCTAATTATGAGAAGCCCTTTTGTTATGGGAAAAGTCCCATAACTGTTCTTTCTCCAGCACCTGCAGTGGTGACCTTGATGGTTGCAAAGCTTCATGATCTCCACATACATTCTCAGCATTCCACTTTCCCCTCCCTCCATCCCCAGTTCATTGGCAAGTTGATTGGCTCTCTTCCGATTTGCCTGTTTCTTTTATGACTCTCTGATTTTATTCAGGGTTTTCTGCACATTTTCCCAATCAGCTTTCAGGGTATTCATCCATTCAGCTAACTTTACTGAGTGAGGGGGTTCCTTTGGAAATTCTGGCATTGGCACAAACTCAACTCCCATGGTCACTTTAAAGGGGGTGAACCCATGTACTGAATTATTATAAGCCACTTCTGCAAAAGGTAGGAGCTCCACCCAGCTGGTTTGCTGATAGTTTACATAGAAATGTAGGTATTACTCCACTATTGTGTTAGTTTGTTCCATCACCCCATTGGGAAGGAATGGGGAGGGAGGGGGGGAGGAAGGAAGGAAGGAAGGAAAGAAAGGAAAGGAAAGGAAAGGAAAGGAAAGGAAAGGAAAGGAAAGGAAAGGAAGAGGGAGATTGGAAGAAGGAGGGAGGGTCTGAGGGAAGTCCTGCCTTAGCACTTGGCCACTAGCAGCCCTGCTGCCCTCTCGTCATCCCCTTGCCCCCTCCTCCTGGCCTTTCCTGGGGTCTGCTGAGGATGCTTTGCTTACAAAGCCGGGTCTTCTCGCATGGAGAAGGAGTGGGCCTCCCTCTGACTTTGCCCTCCCGCACCCACCATGAGCAACCTGGCCAAGAAGAGTGAGCACAGCAGCAGCAGCCTTGAGGAGGAAGTAAGCACTGCCAGGTGCCCTCTTGGAGAAGCAGGACTGGGCTGGGCTGTGGGATCCTAGTGACCTGGGAGCTCTAAGGCCAGGCTGGGCTCTTGCCCTATGCTGCCCAGGGCTCTGGGCAGCTTGTGCTGCCGTCCAGGGGTATTCTGCTTGGCTTGAGAAGAACAGTGAGGCTCCTCTGGTGGATGAGGCTTTGGTGCTTGCCATAGTCTTGCCTTCCTCCACTGGAGACCTCCAGATCGCCCCTCAGTCTTGCCTGGTGCCCCATCAGGCAAGACTGATGGGGCACTTGCCTGGTGGAAGATGACACTGCTGCATGTGGAAGTGCAGAGGACAAACTTTGCAGGAAGCAGTTTCCTGTGAGTCCAACTTCATGAGGGTAGGCTGCCCCAACAAGCCAACATTCTTACCACACATGATTGGAAATGGGGATTCCCTTTTGAGAAGGGCCAGCTTCCCTCATGCAGGACTGGGGAGCACTGAACCCCTGCTCCTCCTCTTGCTCTCCAGAGATCTGTCAAGGCAGAAGTTGGATTCACAGGAAACTGCTTCCTGCAAACTTTGTCCTCTGCACTTCCACACAGAGCAGCATTGTCCTCCATCTCCTTTGCTTGGAGGAGACACTGGACAGGGAAACAGCAACAATGTCTGGGATTGGGAGAAGAATGTCTCCTTTGGCATGCTGTGCACATGCATGCACACATACACACCCCATTCCAAGCTTGGAGACTTTTATCCACATCTGAGCTTGCAAACTGTCAATCATGCCTGGGCTTGGGGAGAAGCCCAGGGGAAGGCTTGGTGGCTCAGCAGACTGATAGCATTGTGATTAACACCAGCTGTCTGCAATTACTGTAAGTTCGAATCTCACCAGGCTCAAGGTTGACTCAGCCTTCCATCCTTTCTAAGGTAGGTAAATTGAGGACCCAGTTTGTGGGGGCAATAAGCTGACTTTGTATAAATATACAAAAAAAGTATGAAGGCTATTGCTTAACGCATTGTAAGCCGCCCTGAGTCTCCGGAGAAGGGCGGCATATAAATCAAATTAAAAAAAAAAAAGAAGGCCCTTTCCTTCCTCTGTGGATAAAAGTCCCCAAACTTGGGATGTGGCGTGGTGGTGTGCATGTGCATGTGCATGTGCACATGCTTAGCTGCCAGTAGTTTGGGGAGGCAAGGAGCTTGTGGGGCACCAAATTGTCCCCACATCGATTTAGCAGGTGTGACTTATTCTGTCCCGACTCAGTCAGTGAGTAGCGTTGAGCTGGCCATGCCCACCAAGCCATGCCCACCTAGTCATGGCAACCTGGCTGTGACCTCCCAGCCATGCGTACTTGGGCATGCCCACCTGGCTGTGGTGAATCATCATAATTGTCAGACTTCGATGCTATCTCAAAATAAATGAATTTCCAAACTGCCAATCTTTAAGGAAATCTTTTCTTTATTCGAGCACAGCAACCGGATCATGATTCGATGCGTACAAGACTGACCTTTTGCCCTCCAATCCCTCCCTTTCCGATCCCCAATTCTCTGCTTCTCATTGGCTATCTTCCAAGTCCCTCTCCTGACTTCTTGTCTTGTCATTTCACAGGAATGTTTCCCCCCTCCTCATTTCCACGACGACCGAGCTTCAAAGAGATTTAGCAGGCAAAAGTTCAGAGCTTATCTCTCCTCTCTATGCCAGCGCTGAGGCACTGACAATAATCTTTTATGCAACTGGTTCTTTGAGGGCAACCATAATGCTGATTCGGCTCTCAGTGAAATTGAATTTGACACCCCTGCCATAGCTAGATTTTTGTCCATGAAGATTCTGAACTCCTCCATCTCCCTTGGGGTCATTGAATACATCTTTGGTTTTGGGTAATTTTGCCCCGGGCAGTGTTTCAATGGCACAGTCAGTGAGGCAATGGGGAGGCAGTACATCTGATTCCCGCTCGCTAAATGCTTCAGCTAGGTTCCGATATTCCTTTGGGATGGCTGGCCCACATGGCCACTCTCAGCTAATGCATTACTGGGGTCTATCTTTCCCCTCCCACCAATGGTGTTTCTCCACCTTTGTGCATTGTCCCTACGTTTTGCAATCTGCCTGCTCTACTCCTCCAGCACAAATTGTTGTCTTTTCAGTCAACTGCTGGATCCCACTTCTTCTGCCATGCCAAACCCAAAATCTCTGCCATTTTGGGGGCTACTATGAACCAAATAGTCTCCTTGTGGCTCCCTGCTCTCAGGGTTACTGGCTTGGTTAGGTATGTGACGGGCAGCACCCCTAGTGAGGGAGCCATCAACTTGCTCAAACTTTATAGGCTGCCTCAGTTTTTTAAGTCTCAATCCCATTTTTTCCACAGTTTGTAGGATAACCAAGCAGCGGGTGCTGTGAATATTTCCCTTGCTCCTGAGTGGGCACTAGTATCTTCACCTGGGCAGTTAAAGGGGGGATGGTTCCACCTTCTATTGGATCATCCTCCCCTTCGCTGTCACTCTTGTAGAAGACCAGGTTGGGCTTGCTGGGAGTTGGAGTTTCCTCCTTCTCGCTGGAAAGGGAAGAGACTCCACGACCTGCTGTGCCACCCACATCTTTTCCTTTCCCTTCCTTGGCACCTTCTTGGCCTTTGACTGGTTCAAACCCCTCGGCATTGACATGGGCTGTGGGACTGGACAATTGGCTGCTCAATGGCCCTTTTTCCCATATTGGAAGCAGGCCTGGGAAAGTGCCATGGGCTCTCCTTTGGGTTAGAGTGAGGGACTGTTGGTCCCTTGCATGCTGGCAGGCATCTCTCTTGGCCTCATCGGGGTGACCCTCATGTACTATGTGCTGCCGGTACTTCAATAGGTCTAGTTTTACTGTGTTTGCCAGCTGGTACCATGCCCCGAGGTCATCTGGAATCCCTCAGGGCTGTTGTGGCCCGTCAGCGGTCTGTGCAGCTAGTAGCTGATTCTGATAATGAGGAGGCTGGTGTGGTGCTGCGCCAGCAGCCCGTGCAGCTGGCACTTGAATCAGACAATGAGGAGGCTGGACAAGATGTGGTGCCAAAGGCAGGGATTCAGCCAGGGCCTTCAGAACCTCCAGAAGTTCCCTTAAGTGAAGAGGACGAAGAGGATGAGCCTCTTCTCGATGCATGGGCGCGCAGAGCTGCCAAAAAGCAGGAGTGGCTCCTCAGGAGGCAGTCTCCTCGAGAGTAAGGCTTGGGGCTAATTGGCCACTCCCTTAGCCTATTTAAGGAGGAACGCCGACTGAAGCAATTTGCAGAGAACAACTTAGTTCACATACCTTCGTGTCTTGTCTTGCTTATCTTATCAGCTTCCTGCAAATTGCTTCTGGGCATTCTGCCAACCATAGTAAGCTTTCAGTTATTATTTTTTGAATTCTTGGCGGCTGTTAATACAGTTAATTAACAGCCGTTGTTATAAAAGACTGGTTTATTTAGTAACCTAAGGTTTGAACGGACTTTGTGTGTGCTGCGTTCTTTGGGGTCCGTAGCTGGGGCAGAACAAGGGCAGGCAGTTTTGGTACAGCTCCTTGTTTAGTCCATCTCAGAAGTGGTAGAACAGCAAGTGTTCTGGCCACCCTCTCAGCTTCCAGCCAGGCTGCAGAACTCCCAGATGTATTCGGTTACTGACCTACTCCCCTGTCTTATAATGCAGATCCTGGATTCTGCTCAGTGGGCTTGCACAAGATCTCCAAATCTGTCTCAAAGCTCCTCCAAGAGGGCATCAACATTCCCCAATTCTGGTGCCCCTTCATCATGGAGTGTAAGGCCCAGCCTTGTCCCCTTATTCAAGAAAGTGAAAACTCTTGAAACTTTGTATTTCAAAAGGAACCTTTTATTGAAAAGGGGTGAAAGCAGGACAGATTCAAAGCAGGTTCTGAGGTTCATCAGAGCATACAATTAGGATAAAGGAAAGTAGGAACCCCTCTGAACAGTCCGATGTGGATTCCGCCAATCTGCAAGTGTTAAGATGTTATTGTACTGGCCTCTCTGAGAAAGAGATAAGAAAAGTTTCTCAGGGCCATCTTCTGGCATTGCAATCTATATGGCCCTCCCTCCCCTTGCATTCTCCAAGAGTTGAGAATTTTCTAGGCATCCAAGGTGCCAGGCAAACAGTCCTGTTTGGAGAAGGGCGGTATAGAAATGGAAACAAATAAATAAATAAATCAGATGAAAGGTTACACAAAAGACAAGGCAAGAAATAGGATATCTTGGATACATAGAGAGGAAAGAGAAACTAAATGTATGAAACTCCAAACTCCCCCCACTTCCTCTGAAGAATGGCAGATACACGGATCTGACATGGAGGTACATCACCCAATCTGCTGCCTCCTCTTCTAGATTCGAAGAGATGGCGTTTAAGTGGTCAACTTCATCCAGGTACATTGCTCCATATTGCTCCAAATAGTTCCACAACTGGTTCAGGAAATAGGCTAGCTTCTCTGGTCTCCTGTCAAACATGGCTTTCAGAAGCAGAGGCTCCCAGTGATCCTGAACCAGCACATAGCCCAGTGATAGTCCCACTGCATATGGGACTGCTTGAGCCTGAGCTCCTGCTGTTGCAGGGATCCCTGGGCTTTTCCCACAGTCATGGAAGAGATGGCAACCCCTCTGAGGGAACCCCAGCTCCTTGGGCCACACTCCCCAGTCTCACCCGTTAGGGTGGAGGCAGGGATGGGGTTGCTGAAGCTTGGTCCATTCAATCCCTGCTCCTGGGACTGAGGATTTTATTAACACTGGTCCATGCATCTCCATTCTGACTAAGTTTTTATGCAGTTGCTCCACAGAAGGGCTACAGCATGCTGCAGGAATTTCCATTCCCCTGGTTCTTCCCAGTCTGTAACTTTCTGGGCCTTTCATTTGCTTCCTCGAGTTATGGCCACTCCAGGTAGGCCCAAGGGAAGCTCTAATTTAGGTGCCTTCCCCACTCTGCTCAGCCATTACATCTTCGGGTGAAGGCAAATGGATCAGGCCATGTCTCCTTCCTCACACACTGGTGGCTGCTCTATCTTCTCCACCCTCGTCTTGGATTGAGTCACTACCGTCTGTGCCCCCAAGATAGCTTGGGTGGCTGCCGGTGCCTCCCAAGGAGGGAGCAATCCAGGCTTCGCTGCAGCATTAACTTTTTGCTGCCCTCTGGACATTGTTAGGTTACAGCTCTCTCAGAGGCATATGAGTAGACTGTGTTAATTTAGGGAGAGCTGGTTAAATATCAACTGTCTGACTAGTGAACCCAAAATAAGGAAACACTCTCGGGAGCTTTGAATTCCCAAAAGTAAAACTTTATTGGATACACCATTTTGGTACTGAAGAAACAAAACCAGCTCTAGTTTTCCCTCTCAAATGCTTGCCTAGTTAAACAATAGCTTCCTCTTCTCCCCACCTCTGGGTGATAACATTGTCCAATTATGAGATGTCCTTTTATTATGGGAACAGTCCCATAACTATTCTTTCTCCAGCACCTGTAGTCGTGACCTTGATGGTTGGCAACCTCCATATACATTCTCAGCATTCCATTTGCCCCTTCTCCACCCCCCCCCCCCGTTCATTGGCAAGTTGAAAAGCATTAAGGTTTGAAAGAAGCAAAGAGGTTCAAAGTGGCTCATGCTGCACGAACATTTTGGCAGCAGATTTTTCTGTTGCCTGAAGATAAGACTTATCTCATGCAAGCATTACTTGATTTTTAAGAGTTTTCTACTCTATGGAAAGAGATTCTACATCATTAGACATGATTTTAAAGATTTTATTGCAAATGTGTCTTAGAATGATTAAGGAGAAAGTTTTCTAGGAAACATAAAGTTTTATAAAAAGAACCAAATAAGTTAAGGAATCGTGAAAATTTCTGATCCAGAAAAGCAAATTAAATGTTAATTTTTTAAAAAATAAGGATATTGAAAATATCCTATGCTGTAATGTATTAAAGATTCAGAATAATGCTTAAACTTATATAGTCATATATAATTCCTAAATTGTTAACTGAATGTTTCTTATATATATTTCAAATAAAGCTTCAATTGTTTCTTTTAACTAAAAAGTACCATTTTACTATGGAAATATATAATACTCATATTTCAAATTTATAGTTGGTAGATTTTTAATTTCTACTTTTAACACAGAAATAAAATTATGCAAGAAATAATAATTGATGCATTCATGGGCTAAGCATTAAAATATTATTAATAAGAATAAACTTTTTGTGCCCTTTTTTAAAATGCAGAATTACGGATTAGAAACTGAGAACCTAAAAACACTTTCTCACAAGCTAAATGCATCTGCCAAAAACCTTCAGAACTTTATCACAGGAAGAAGGAGGAGCGGTCATTATGATGGTAGGAGTAGCAGAAAATTACCAAATGATTTCCTTACCTCAGTGGTGGATTTGATTGGAGCAGCAAAAAGTCTCCTAGCATGGCTGGACAGGTAAAACCATTTCAGTTGTTCCAAGGATGATACCTTATTGTTCTTATAAATAAATGTAATGTATCATAAGTTGTATTAAAGTATTAATTACAAGTCATCTGCTTTCTTTATTTGAAACATCAGTAAAATTTATAGAGATCACAACATATAATTTAAGCTTAAATATAGATAAAACTTAGTTCTATACTGAAGAATTAGCACCAAAGTTAGTCCCATTTGGCAACTGCTTTTGAACGCTGCCTAGAGGCAGATTGATTACTGATGATAGAACCAAATGCTGCTTTATTAATGGGCTGCCATTCCTTTACTTCAGGAGTGTCCAACTATGGCAACTTTAAGACTTGTGGACGTCAACTTTCAGAATTCAGAATTTTAGACAGGCTGGGGAATTCTGGGAATTGATGTTTACAGGTCTTAAAGTTGCCAAGGTTGGACATCTTTGCTTAAAGCTAAGGATTCCAGCACCCTTTCTTGGTTGATGAAACAGTCCTTCACAGCTTCAACTTTAGGGCAGTTAGGGTAGATAGGGATAGCAAATATAGTCAGGACTTTTTGACTTTCCTGTTAGAGTACTGTGCTATATACTTTAAGCAACATTTCTGTTGAAATATTGGTGTAACCTTACTCAACACTTTTGGAAATGAAAATGTTGTACAGCATGAAATAACACCCACTGATATTTTCAAATAAGAACATTTTTATTCTATTTATTAAATATAGCTAATTAATTTAAGATCCAATTTCTTGCACTTTTTCAAGAGTCAAAACAATTTAGAACTTATCACAAATTTATAGTTGGTAGTGATTGTAGAAAAAGTAACAAATCATTATTATCTTGTATATTACATGATACAAACACAAAAATATTATTTAAGTGTCATCAAGGTGAATTTGACTTGTGATGCCATCTCAACATGCTTCTAAAAATAGCCAATAATTTCTCCAGTGACTTTATGACATTCTAGTTCACAGAAGACATTTTAGTTCACAGTGACATTTTAACTTCACAGAAGCTGTTGGGAGGGGCTGCTAGCTGTGAGGGAGGAATCTGAGAGTGAGTACAGAGCAAAGGCAGAGTGAAACTTGCCTCCATTACATTTTAACTTCACAGAAGCTGGTGGGAGGAGCTGCTGGCTGTGAGGGGGGAGTCTGAGAGTGAGTACAGAGGAGAAAGGTAGCGGCCTGCACACCTAATGGCATGCGAATCATAACTATAAACCAAAATAGCAATAATACATTCAGGGTTAGTGCACTTGAGATTGTGATTTTATTTTATCAGTCCCCTCTACTACAAAGATCCTGCAGGAGAAGGGCAGAATGGACAATTGTGGGATCTGGCAGGGTGACAGCTGTGAACCATAAACACAAAGCTTTTGCTGTGTCCCAGCATAACAGATATAGTGCCCTTGCTGACTTTAATAGGGACACTAAAGTGACAGGTCAAGATAGTTGTGATAATGATAACTCAAATAAGCAGGGGATCATAGTCTGAGATGAAGAACTTACTTTGGAAAGGAGAAAGTGTGAATCACATCGGTCACACGAGAAGAACACAGTATCCAAAAAGAGAAGTCACCTTCTGGTTGGTGATTTAATTGTAAGGGATGTAAATTTAGGAAAAGATATCGAGGTTTTGAAAGAGGTCAGGTGTCTGCCAGGTGCTACTGTCAGCAGAGACAAGAGGTGTATTCTTAAGATAATCAAGAATGCCAGTAAGGACTGTGCTGTTGATGTTATTATACATCTTGGCACCAATGATCTGTCCCAAAAGGATGTACTTTATGTGCAGAATGATTTCCAGAGCTTGGGGTATGAATTTAATAGTATAGGTTGTAGGCTTATCTTTTCAGAGGTTTTGTAAGTATATAAGGAACAAAAAGGGAAAGGCCAGCATGTAGCGGCGTTTAATGTGTGGCTAAAGGAGTGGTGTAAAAGGGAAGGCTTTGATTTTATTAGTCATTATATCTGCAGCTGGTCCAATGAAAACTATATAAAAAAGATGGATTGCATCCATCAAAGAAAGGGACTGAGTTATTTAGCATTAAATTCACAGATTTTCTGGATAAACATTTAAACTGAACAGCAGGGACAGAAAATTAATTGATACAGAACATTTCTGTCCCCAACAATCTAAAATTAATAGGGTTATCAGTCCATGTAACATAGATGTCTGTGTGGGTAAGATTATCAGCCCTGCTGTCAAGCAAAACCAAGCATTTAATAGTGAGTGCCATACCATGTGCACTAATCAAACAGGTGGCAAGAAAGTAGGGGCAGTCAGGCACAACACAGGTTATGTCGACAGTAAACACAGGGTCAATCAAAATGGACTCAAATGTCTATACACCAATGCACAGAGTATGAGGAATAAACAGGGTGAATTAGAAATTCAAGTAAATGAGGGCAGATATGATATTGTTGCCATTACAGAAACTTGGTGGGATGAAACCCACAAATGGAACATACAGCTAGAGGGATATAAATTATTTAAAAGAAATAGACCAAATAAAAGAGGAGGTGGAGTTGTACTATATATAAGAAATAACTACATCTCTACAGAAATAGAGCACAACAATGATGAAAATTATCTTGAATGCATTTGGGTCAATATTAAAGTGGGGGGGAATGACATTGGCATAGGTCTATACTATAGGCCACCCAACCAAACAGACGAAGTAGATGAACTTTTTGCTAGTCAGTTAACTAAGGTATGTAGGAAGCACATCACAATAGTAATGGGGGGTTTTAACTACCCTGACATCAACTGGGAGACAAACTCTGCACCAAGTGGAAGATCTAACAGGTTCCTAACAAACCTAGGAGACAATTTTGTTTCCCACAAAGTAGAAAAGGGAACAAGGGGATCAGCCATATTGGACTTAATTCTCACTAACAGAGATGAAATGGTAGAAGGTTTTGAAGCTACAGGAACCTTGGGGGCAAGTGATCATGCAATATTGGAATTCAATATTATGCAAACACAAGTAGTAGAACAAAGTCAAACTAGAGTCTTGGACTTTAAGAGAGTTAATTTCAATAACCTTAGAGAGAGCTTGGGAAGGATTACATGGATGAGAATCCTCAAGGGGAAAACAACTCAAGAAATTTGGGAAATTTTGAAAAGTGAGATTATAAAAGCCCAGTCTAGCACAATACCAATGAAGAAGAAAAATAATAGCTCTGAAAAGAAATCAGCATGGCTGCATAAAGAACTCTCTGACAAATTGAAAGGCAAAAAGGTCAAGTATAAAAAGTGAAAATAGGGGCAAATAACTAAGGCAGAATATCAGCAAATAGCCCAAGCCTGTAAAGATGAAGTGAGGAAAGCTAAGGCTCACAATAAACAAAGGCTTGTGACTAAAGTAAAAAATAATAAAAAAAGCTTCTTCCAACATATTAAAAACAAGAAAAAAGTCAAGGAAACAATTGGCCCATTGCCATGACAAGCAACAGGGAGAAAGCAGAACTATTTAACTCATTTTTTGCATCTGTCTTTACAGAAAAGGAAAAAACAGTCCAACCTATCAAAAACAGCACCACAAAGAATAGATTAGGAACACAAGTTAAAATAGGGAAGAAAATGGTAAGTGAACACCTGTCTATCTTAGATGAGTTCAAATCATCAGGACCGGCTGGATTACACCCCATGTTTCTGAAGGAATTGGCAGATGAGATCTCAGAACCACTGAACTATATCTTTCAAAGATCCTGGAGCACAGGGGAACTGCCAGAGGACTGGAAAAAGAGCTGATGTAGTTCCCAGATCTAGGAAACTACAGACCTATCAGCCTGAACTCAATACCAGGGAAGATTCTGGAAAAGATAATCAAGCAACAAATCACCAAACACTAGAAGCAAACAAAGTAATAACCAAAAGCCAAGCCATGGGTTTGTCAAAAACAGATCATGCCAGACTAATCTTATTGCATTCTTTGACAAAGTGACAAAATTAGTAGACCAGAGGAATACTGTCGATATAATTTACTTGGACTTCAGTAAAGCATTTAATAAAGTAGACCATAACCTACTACTAGATAAAGTAGAAAAATGTGGGTTAGACAGCATCACTACCAGATGGATTCGTAACTGGCTGACCAATCGTACTCAAAGTGTAGTCCTCAATGGAACTGCATCTACATGGACGGAAGTATGTAGTGGAGTACCCCAAGACTCTGTTTTAGGTGCAGTACTCTTCAACATCTTCATCAATGATTTGGACGAGGGGATAGATGGGGAACTCATCAAATTTGCAGATGACACCAAGCTGGCAGGAATAACCAACACTCCAGAAGATAGGCTCAAGATACAGAAGGATCTTGAAAGACTTGAACATTGGGCACTATCTAACAAAATGAAATTCAACAGTGAAAAAAGTAAGGTTCTACATTTAGGCAAGAAAAACAAAATGCACAGGTACAGTATATGTGGTACCTTGCTCAATAGTAGTAACTGTGAGTGGGATCTTGGAGTTCTAGTTGACAACCATTTAGATGTGAGCCAGCAGTGTGCAGCAGCTGCCAAAAAAGCCAACACAGTTCTGGGCTGCATAAGCAGAGGGATAGAATCAAGATCACGTGAAGTGTTAATACTTTATAATGCCTTGGTAAGGCCACACTTGGAATACTGCAGTTGGTTTTGGTCGCCACGATATAAAAAAGATGTTGAGATCTAGAAAGAGAAGAGCAACAAAGTTGATTATGGGACTGGAGGCTAAAACATATGAAGAACGGTTGCAGAAACTGGGTATGTCTAGGCTCAAGTCTAGTCTGATGAAAAAAAGGACTAGGGATGACATGATAGCAGTATTCAAATATCTGAGGGGCTGCCACAAAGAAGAGGGAGTCAAGCTATTCTCCAAAGCACCTGAGGGTAGAACAAGAAGCAATGGGTGGAAACTAATCAAGGAGAGAAGCAACTTAGAACTAAGGAGAAATTTCCTGACAGTTAGAACAATTAATCAGTGGAACAACTTGCCTGCAGAAGTTGTGAATGCCCCAACACTGGAAATTTTTAAGAAGATGTTGGATAACCATTTGTCTGAA